ATTAACTCAAAAACATATAATGTTTGACCACTACGCGTTGTGGTTAATATGTAACTTGTAAACGGAAGTACTGCAAACCTCGTCGTGTTTGTACTAATTCTTGAATGCCTTTTTTGTATTTTAGTAAGTGCTATAATACGAATAACGTGTTTTGGATATTTTAAAGAGACCACAACGTGTTGTGGTAGTTTTTTGCTCAATGAGCGATTTCGTTCTTTTAGCCTAACATATAGACGATAAAAAAGGCAAGTATGAAGGTATTAAGTAAATCAAATTAGAAATGTATATTTACGCGCTTATTAGCGAACATGGAAAGAAAAATGCCACAGTTGAGAACCGCACATGGTACACAAACTACTTTCTAAAGAACGCTATCGAAAGCTAAACTCTTATCACTAACATTCTCTCATGTGTTCGCATGAATTGAATTTTAAAAACGTGTTGTTAACTTTGGTGTTTTGTTTAAAATAATTTTATTATGTAAATTCTTCAATTGATATTTTCAGGAGATTTTTTTTTATGGTCATACCAAATGACGTATTGAAGAAGCATTGTCGCTAATTAAGTCAGAAAGTCTTGAGTGTCACTACCATTGCACCAGTCACCCTGAGACTAAAAATTAACAAATCCTATGCGCCTGTTATTGTTTACACTTCAAAACCAGAACACTGTAATGTTAACATTACTGTTTGGCATCAGAAATAGTTTGGTGGCAGTACTTCCCTGGACGAACTCTTTCACAAGGAGCTCTACTGTTTACTTGACAGGTACCTATAAACTTTGCACTTAATATTAAATCATTTTAAGTTTAGTATTGGATCTCTTTTTTCTAATTTGTTCGGTTCGATTCCCAAAAAAAGCAAAACATTCTTTCCCTCCGCGTCGCATAGCCGTGTGACACCTTGATATAATTATTTTATCACGTATGCAAAACATAAACAATAGGTAAAATCGGAAGGTGCCAACTCGCGCACGTGCGCGAGTTTCCCATGCGCGAGTTGACGAATAACTCAACATTATATATAAATAATTGCTAAATAGAAGAACGTTAAAACTCAATTTCTACGCAAACATCCGTTATTTGTATATGCTATTCAAAAAAGGCAGTTACATCACAATAGACTCATCTGTAACAATCGCTAAATTGTGATATGAACGAGCTTTTGTGATAGATTAAAAAATCATCCATTTCAGTGGTAGATTAGATTCAATCGAAGGTCGTTAGTTTGTGGCCCAGACTTAACGAAAAGAAAGAAAAGTTCACATAAATTTATTAACAAGTAGAAAATGAAAAGGCTGTAATAAAATAAAAAATGGTATAAAAAAAAATACAATCAGTATTAAACACTCCCTACTAAACGTCCAGACACTTATCCCAAACAGGCCTATGTACGTGTGTCTAATGATTTAAAAATAGTAAATCACGTGAAGTTTAAATTATACATCAAGTTGATCTATGACCATGTTCCCGCGTTTTGAGAATGTTTATGATAGTAATGACGGAACGAACTAACCCGACATAAGAATGCTTTTTTCCATCCTCTAGACCATAGGTTCCCAGACTTTTTTCTCATAGACCACTTTCAAAATTTTGCCGGTTCCGGTAGACCCCCAGCAGCTACATTTCTACCATATTCGCAAAACTCGACAAAAAATGTGAAGATTAAATCTAACCGACTAGTATTTATGTGGTCTGTGGATCTAACTATGGAAATTTGCAACGCAAATTACTGAGTTGTGATTGGAACTAATAATTAATAGTTTTTGAAAAAAAATTAGAATTTAATTGATTTGTGAATGTCAAAAATGTAAAGACCCGTTGTACTGAATATGGAATATGCAAGTTTTTACAAGTAACAGTCGCTGAGCTTCTTAAAATATTATCGGCTTGCATTGATAGGTGAAGTCAAGCCAACATTTTAGTTCTTCACTATCGAAAGCTGATAAATTTTCGTTGACGGGGGTCCACGAAAACTTACGAATTGTGAACCCCCATTTTTTGTCACGCCAACGTAGACCCCCGTCGAGTCCCCGTGGACCCCTGGGGGTCCACCTGGACCACTCGGAACGAAGGGTCTAAACGAATATGGAATCAAAAGGAATTCGAGAACGATTCAAAATTTTAAAATTAAGTGGCCAGGAATCAGCAAAGAGGGTGATAATAAGGTGGAATGACGATAAAAGAAGTTATCGTCACAATTTGATCCATATGTACGACATTATCTTCTCCAAAAGAGAACCATTTTTTTTATTCTATACCACGTGACGGGACAAACTAGTCGTGCGTCTGGTGTAAGCAACTCGCCAATCGCCTGTCCATGACTGTTGCAGTGCCACTCAGAGCTAAACAATTTTTTCATAACAGTGTGGGCCCCGTTCATAACATTGTCAGTTTCAAAACAAGCAACTACCTAGAGACATTTGCAATACAAAGGACATATCCTTATTATCTGTTCTCAACAAATAGTTTGCGGTACTGCCTTTCTCTACCTTTCAATCTGGAACAATGCAATACTGCTTTCCGGTCGACATAGTTGTGACGACGCTGACTTCCTTCATTGACAAGGAACTATCCTAGCCAATTATTTAAAATTTTGAATGGTTCTCGAAATACCTTTTCCTTCATTATTGTCACATTTATCCGCCATCACTACCATCAAAATTTTTGAAACAAGAGGACGTACACATAATCACAAATCATTTCTCCAAAAAACTGTTCAAGAAAACGATGAAAGAACACCTATTAAATGTACAGAAAGAAGGGCTGTAGGTGGGAAACTTGTTGCGTTTTCGACTATTTATTTATTTAATTTTAAATGATATACATATTTGTAAACGTTTACTGTAAGTGTGAAATCTCTATGTGGCAACATTTAATGTCAGGGAAGTTCATAAAAAATATACACGCATACACCCATACAAACGCAAATTATTTGACAAAGTCTCAACATAAATATTTACATACATTTTGAAATAAATATAATATACTTAAATAGATTTAAAGCTATAACGTACGTTGTTGATTTTCTGGGAAAGCCACGGACCCGGGCCAGTAGGTACACGGGGATCATCAGTTAGTGATTTGAAATATAAACATTGACAGATAGTACTTACGCCTTACTGGAAGAACTGCATCACCAACGCCATGCGCTGTAAATAACTGATAATATTGACGAAACAAAAGGTTGACTTTGTAGTGATTCACTGCTAGTAAACTTTAATATAATATTATACTTTAATATCACCGTTATCTACACGTATGTTTATTATAGGAACTATTTATTAATGAGCGTATTATATCTGTGTTGTTGTTATATATAGGATATTCCAACGAGTTGCACGAAACGTTACGCTTCCACATTTATATGTGGAACGGTTTTAGAGTCTTGGGCCTTTTTAGGGCGAGAGTGAATAGGCATTATTTAGGTGTGCATGCTCCATCGTCGATCTCATAGTCGCGTACTTACTTTTTTTTTAATTTATGGGATACCAAATTTATAATTTGTTTTTCCTGTAAATCGGACTTTAAAAAAATTTTTTCATGTTACACATCGAACACTCTCAGCGCCATAGAACAAGCGGTTTTTCTAAAGTAGCAAGCCATGTAGGCGGGGAGACACGTTTTTTTTTTTCACTGTACGCCGCATCTCTTCTTGAGTAACTTTTGTAGCAGGCCATGTGGGCTGCCAGCTGGACACCTCCAAGCTCTATTACTTGGTACGCCAGGATCCTACCAAAAAAAGACGGATATCACAATTAGGGACGAGATAAATACTTGATTACGATCGGGACCAGTTGTTAGCAGAAGAGCCAAACAATTGGCTGTGTTCGTTCACATTATATTGTCGGCCTGCTGATGCAACCTTTGACTGGTCAGGACTAGAAAATCAAAAATAATTTTTAATTCCTAATTGTGGGACTCCGGCAGCCCATACCGACTGCTAGATAAAATTTGAAAATACATGGTAGCCTGCTGCACTTGGGTTTTTGTAGGCGGCCGGCAGCCCACATGGCGCTGAGAGTATTAAATAAATTGCTAGTTATAATTATATCAAGCTAGCTGTAGTGGCGTGTTGCAATGCCACTGAAAGAAAAAAATGTTTGTCTTAAAAGACAAATGCCAAATTGCAGACCTAAAGATCTGCAAGACTTGTCCTTCACCTTAAAGGAGACCTGTGCCCAGAGAGAAATATAATTGTGGACAGTTATTGTCAAAAGTTTTATTGCAATCGGATGAATAATAATGAAATGTACACCGGACTGACGTTCATTTTAAGAGATAGATAGAACTAAAGATAAACTCTTTTCTACACTCTGTATACCTTTTCCATCTCTTTTTATAGACACGAGCGAGTGGCAATAACGACCGATAGGAGTTGATATAATAAATAGGATAATTCAAAATCAAATTTACGATTATGGCATAGAAACATGACGTCACTTTAACTAATAACTTTGTCAAAAGCGACATGGCATCCAACGCGAATGCTCTGAGCCTATGTGTGAAGAGCTGCGCGCCGGGAACTCCGTGCCAGGTACGACGAGACACGCGCCTTGCTGACAAAAACTAAATAAACTCGCTGCGCAGACACACGTGGTTTATTCCACTTTTGGATGTGTAACGGAGTGATAAAGTATATACTGGAATACGTTGCGTTACGTTACGTTAAAATAAAATCACTTTAACTTTGGCAGCCTTGTACAGGATTGGTGTTTCGAGGCGTTAGCTTTTCCCAAAACGTTCATCTAAGGCTTAGATTATACAATGCATACAGCCATCTCCGATATCATCGTGTAATTTTGCATGGATCCGACATGATAAAGATGACCTTCAAGGCACATTGGTACAGTAGGTTCGAAACTATATTTAAAATAAATATTTAATATTTAAAATATTCATTTTTTTCTTTTATTTTCCAAGACTAAATTAAAAAACAGCTTCCAAAATTGTTATACATTTTATTATAAAAATAGTGCACAAACTTCTTATTTTGTTTAAATAAAACTTGTATAAGTATATTGAATACAGACGTACATAATTATTCGATTATTTTTCTTAAACTAAGTAACATAATGATAATAATTGATTTTTAAGTGCGACATATAAACTGTAATCTAATTAAATGTGGAATGGCAGTAACTGTTTTAAACTTCCTTTAAGACTTTTTAACTTATTTTAAGAAAGAACAGATAGTGATTACAATTAGTATAAAATCGATATCTTATAAATCTATCGATAGCCTTTATAATACTTGAAGGAATTGTAAGCGTCCATACCGTACAGGATTCCTAACACCACTCCTATGGACTGGAAAAATAAATAAAACAATAATTAATTACTTCATTATCAATATTAAATGATCCCCGGCCACTAAAACTTTCTTTTGAGAACACAGAATAAGAACACTCTTAATATGTTGAATAAATAAATTTTACGAATATCTGTGCAACCTTCTCTTTTCGTCACTAAAGCTTTCAATATCAAAATTCTGTTTATTATTTACGTAATTTGGCATTCTCTTTTTTATCACTTACCACAATCGACCTGCCAATAAATACTTGTCACAGTTATTCTAGTGCAAATGGAGCAATTCTCTGATAATCCCAGTACAGAGTACTAAAAAAACCGACCTCAAAAATACGTGGAATTACGTCTATTTCCTAAATTTTATTGAAATATCCCCTAGTTCGCCACTGTACAGGACTTGACACTAGAGATAATAAAAATCGGTTCTCACTACTCAAAGTATATCGAGAGAAAAACGCCTTGAATTGGAGAAATAGCAAAATCAACCATTAAAATAATTGCTCCTAAATTAAAGTTCAGGCGCTATTTATAAAAATGAATCTTCATGCCTGAACAGCCACCCTTAGAGGTGGATGATTTTCTTCAAAACGAAATGGAACCACTATGGAAGTACCCCCTTTCCAACAAAAAAAGAATCATGAAAATCCACAAATACAGAAGTTATCGCGTAACATACATACAAAAAAAAGAACATACAGTCGAATTGAGAACCTCCTCCTTTTTTGAAGTCGGTTAAAAATGTATATCAACAAATGAAAGTATTACAAGGCGGGAAACAATTTAAACTTGGCCGAACGTCGATGAAAAATCAACAGAAAAAAAAATAATTTTTATTATGTTTAAAAAAGTTATTATTTTTAGTCTTTGGCTATACATTTTACAATTTTGACTTGTTCTGTTTTTATTTTGTTTTTGTTTCTTTATTTTATTTTCACAAAATTCGTTTTTTGTTTTTTTTTCGTATTATGTTTTATGTTTCTTGTTTTTCACAAAATTCGGAGATATATAGAGAGCATAATATTAGCAACTGGCTGTTTACAAAAATAACAGAAAATCACCAAAAAGTAAAGTTGGTGTAGTGTTAATTAGAGGTCTCTCTGTCTTCGCATAAATTAAACTCTCGATAAACTGTTCCAGTAAAAAGTTAGGAAGCAATGTACAACACCATTGTACATCACCTATATCTATCAACCGTGAACTCGCGGATTTGAATTCATTATATCACATGATTCCCGCGTAACAATGTTGTTTTTGTAATAACTTTTCTACAAAAACCGTATACAGAAGGCGAAGACGGAGCACATGCATTGTGCGTTATAAACAAAAGAAATTACCAAAATACTGTAACAACAATACAACACATATGTTTGTCCTACTTAGTGTGCAGAAATAACATTCTTACATTGTATAAATAATAATGTTTGCGGTTCAGCTGTCGCGTGTCTCTACCGTGTCAAAACAATACACTATAATATCAAATACTGTCATTTTAAAAAATCCTGCCAAAAAACAATTTCTTGTTTTTTTGCAATTTTTTAATTAACGTACTGTGTACATTATCCGCTAATCTAGCAATTAGCAATTATAATTATCTTGCTTTAGCAACAGCTTGTAGATTCTTGATGTTACGAAATTACAAAATACTATACTGGGACTCGCTGTCTTTAGTTTTTTTTTTGAGACCTAGTGACGTGACAGTGACCTGGTTGTGACACGCCTATCCATGGCAGTAGCAGTACCACTCACACATTACTGGTTGGCGGCAGAAATAGATAAAGTGGCAGTACTTCCCTGGACGAACTCTTTCACAAGGAGCTCTACTGCTAAAGTGTTTTGGTTTGACACGATATGCCTGATGACGTAATTAATTAGCGCGATTGTCCATGACGGGGACATTCGTTTCTATAGGTACAATACTTACGTTAACAGCGGTCATTGCAGGGGCTCCAGAGTTCGTAAATACATTATTCAAGTGCACAGCCACCCACACATACGAAGATGCCGATAGGTACAGAAAACACGCCACGGCATTGAATAGACATTCCTGAAACATGATATAACAATTGGATAAACATGTAATTGTTTTTGTAGCGTTGACAGTTGAAATAATAGATATGCTGAGTCCCAGCGGCCATTATTTCTACAAAATTATATAAATAAAAATTCATGAACCAACTGCGAGATCCAAGGGCTGTCAAATGAATTAACATGATCATAGAACAAGAGGTGAAGCTTTTTGGGTTTTATTGCAACGGGACTCAATCATCATTTTTATCAAGTCCTAGTATTTAAGCTATTAATGTATTTTACTTCGTTATATCATATTGATCGAATAAAATTATATAATAATATAGCCTGCTCTCACAATAAGAGGGTTTGGGCTGTAGTTCCCACGTGTGCCCAATGCGGTTTGAAAATTTCACACACACATTACTGATATGTGCAGGTTTCATCGAGATATTTTCCTTCACTGAAAAGCTCATAGTAAATTTCAAATTATAATAATAATAATAACGTACACACTCATAGCCCCGCACTAGGGAGATCGTGTGTTGCGGATGCCATGGAGACACACATAGACAACCATAAATTACACCCAAAATCACAAGAGAAATAAATGTAGGCCATACAAATATTTCTTCCAACCCGGGAATCGAACCTGGGACCTCTGCATGGCAGTCCGGCATGGTAACCGTTCGGCCACGGAGGCAGTTGAAACGTAATGTCTGCTGACTCGATCTGTTTGACTATGAATATTTCATCCATTTTGTTAAATAACTGTGTCTTGCAAGTTTTGTTTTATGACAATGATTCGAAAATAATATGATTCATGAATTGTGTACATTTAAAATAAATTCGAAAATGCGCGCATGCGAATTATTTCGCGTCCCTTGAAAATAAAATAAAGTGGACAAAAAGCGGCAGAGAAAAAAATAAAAAATGTTTCTTTAAAAAATACATTTTGAAGGCCAAACTTCGGGGCACATTCAATTCTTTACAGGTGATGTTGCCCCCGAGACTTGAGGGAGTAATGGGTACAAAAAAAATTCGTGATCCCTGAGGATCCCACGTTCAGAGTCTATGTGGCTACTTAAATTGCAAAAAAATAAAATCTATGTATTATCTCTATATAGTATGTCAAGTTTATCGGAGAAATTTATACTTGAAATTTGGCAATAGCTATTCTTATATTAATCACGGCGCGGAGGAATAAAAATAAAACTTCTTGAAGAAATTATTTTTAATTTTCATAATACCGGCTCGGGAATAGAACCAGCGACCGCTTGCGTGGCAGTCCAGCATGATAACCGTTCGGCCATGGTGGCAGTTTAATTAAATTTTGCACATAAATTCCGTAAAACTCAGAGACCCAAGCCCAGATTCGAGCCCATGACACTCTGAGAGGCAGTAGGTCACACTATTTGGCTACCTCGGCTATTCAAATATTATATTTTTTTATATAAAATTAAGTGCTCATTTAATCTGCATATCACCTATGGAAAGTGACGATGAGATCGACGATGTAGCATGAACACCTAAATAATGCCTATTCATTATCGCCTTGAAAAGGTCCAAGTCATAACGCTCGGGGCATAAGTCCGCAGGCAGGGAATTCCACTCTAGCCGCTCGCCATAAGAATGTGTATGTAATACATGAAATTACAAAAATCCAAAGTAATCCAAACTATCCTAACTAATATTACAAATTCGCAAGTAACGTGCTACGTTTTGAAGCCTAAGCCGCTGAAGTAAGTTTGTGTGAATTTTGGTATAGACAGATGAATCTAGGAGAAGGATAATGGCCATTTTGTCACAAAAATAACACTTAGTACCAGTAGAGTTCCTTGTGAAAGAATTTGTCCAGGGAAGTACTGCCACCTTACTTATTTCTGCCGCCAAGCAGTAATGTCAACATTACTTAATGTAAGCACTGTGTGGTACTGCAGCTATTATGGACAGGCGTGTCACTTACCACCAGGTGCGTAACTTGTTCATACCGTCACTTGATATTATTAAAAATGCGCAAATAACCGTCTGTTACGTTGTCAAGACTAAACCGCTGAATTAAGTTTGATGAATTTTGGTATAGATATAGATGGAACCTAAGAGAACGACAAAATCTATTTTTGTCACAAAAATTAATTGTAAGGAGAGTGAAATAGGGGTGAGAGTTTCTATCGAGAAACCAATAAAACAATGAAAATTGGTATAAAATATTGAAAATGCCATGAAACTAACAGTCTACCAATAAAATTTCCTTGGAAGATGACGTACAACATAGCCGACTGGACGCAATAACGAGGCTAATGACAAAGACAAGGATTAGTGACGGTCATTACGAAGTGCTATAGTAATTATTTATTGAAAATTAATACTTAAGGTATTTTTAAAGTAAGTGCTATTTCCCACGAGCACAATTGTAACGTAAACAATTCCCTTGTTCATTATTTTTTCCCCCCTACTGTTGTAAAATAGTCAAAACTCAATTCTAACTTCGTCATATTTATCAGGATAAGTTGATGGTTTATCGACATGTAAAAAACATACAAATACAACGGATAGATAAATATATGTGAGATTGAGGCCAAGTATTCGTCCATTATACATAAAAAGAAACAATATGTACGTACGAAAATTAAAAAATCCAATAGAAAAGATCTGTAACAAACACAGAGAAATTTTTAATGTGACTCGATTTGTAGAAGCAGATTCAAGCCCTGTCAGTAATAAATTATAACAGATTACCATTGTTATTAATTAATGAAATATAACAACAAGCTGAAAGCTTTTAGAAGTCAACAAAGTTTATCGAATGATATTTGTCTGTATTATATGCGTCTCCAAAAGTCCAGAACCTTTCCAGAACTATGAAATACTGATTCAGTCAAGAGTTATCCTTAAATCTATTACATTATGAATACACAATAAATACTTTTACTACAAATTTTTATTTTTTTTCTTGATCACAATTTCACATCAAATTATGTCCGGGTCAAATATGGCGAATCTCACGAGGGTGCTTGCTTGTATATCTTTGTAGAGTCACTTGTTTTATTTTTAAAGGAGACAATGAAATTATTTTCATAACAAAGTTACCTACATTAATTTAATCATATAATTTTATTTAATTTAACAAACATAGGAAACATCATTTCACATTTCATTATTGAAAAATAACCGACCTCAAAAGCTCGTAGAATTATATCTATTTACCAACTTTTATTGTTTCCGGTTACCAGAAAGTGCACGAAACCGGATTTATTCGCAAGTTTGCCACCCTTAAAAGTGAAATATTTCCTTGCAATTTGAATTTGATGTTTGGGACCAATACTGATGTACTCTTTCCAACAAATAAAGAATCATCAAAATCAGTTCACAAATGCCGTTATGCGAGTTATCGCGTATTATACATAAAAAAAATATAGCCCAGTTGAGAACCTCCTCCTTTTTGAAGTCGGTTAAAAATTGTAACTGCGTAGGATAAATAGTTGTTAAATATTAAGTAGAATTCTTTTTATGAATTGAATAGTTAGTATTGTTTAATATTTTTGGTGGAATATACTTTAAATATGTTTAATAATTATGCAAATTAATAGCCATTTGCTTTCACTATTGCCATGACTATTCTTCTCCCACTGCTTAGAGGTGGGTGAAGTCCTATCCGAGTCTGCCTCTAGATTCAACGATATTATATGTAGAGACGTACTTTCAAATACAAAAAACGACGTTATACTTACAAAAATCGACTGTCTAATAAGCTGCTGAGATTTAGAAGACACTGTGTAGCAGGTGATGAGCAGCGCCGTGACAAGCAGACAAGAAGACGCTGTGGTGAGGAAGCCAAAGAACGCGGAGCCCATTAGGCCCGCCTCGTACATACCGTACTTTACCAGAAGTGTTTGGCAAAGACCGCCTAACATCTGCAAGAATAAGTTAATCAATTTCTGGATATTATTCTTAATATAGACGTAACTTATAACAATTTAACTTTTATTTTATTAACTTATATTTTATATAAATTGACTTATAAACATTTTTTCTTCCGCCAAGCAGTAATGTCAGCAAGTGTGTTCCGGTTTTGAAGGGTAGTGCTGTTGAAATTATAGGCACATGGGACTTGACGGGCGCAGTGGCAATGCTCCTCAGATATTTGCGATTTAAAGCTCTGAGTGGCACTGCAACTGTTATGGACAGGTGTAGGCGTAGCTCATCATCAGGCGCACGACTTGTTCGTCCCGTCACTAGATATTATAAACAAAATAGACAAAATTATGAGAATCACTACCAAATACTGAAGCGACGGAATATTAATGAAGGTCTCAAATCTACAGTATAATATTTATATTTTTAAAAACGATTTTTTTTTCATTACGCCTTAGAAATTACTCAAAACCGTGATTATAGTATACTACAGAAGCAGCCTTGTTGCTAAGTAGCAATTTCTCTTGGAACCATTTAATTTATGATTGGAAAATTACAAATTAAAATGTGAAATATTTTAAATTTTTATTGAATTGATATTCAAATATTTTTTGAGAAATTACTCCACTAGTTTGTTATAATTATTAATACATGTTAAATATTATTAATAACATCGTCTTTAACGCTACTGTGTTCATTTGATTTCATTTTAAAGTGAAATTTATCCCATAACATACTAGGCCGCACGACTGTATCGTCTGCGCACATGCAGCAGAACGATAAGACTATGTTGCACCATAATTCACATTTTTAAGCAACTTGTTTAACGTGTTGAAAAAATGTACTTACCGCTTCGGCTAACTTAATTAGTCCATGCTGACTAATGAGATATCCCAAGTTGAAACATTCGCAGCACCTGCAGCAACAGCACTTCACGCCATTGCCATCGCTAGGTGCTACCCTTACTATTGTTGGACCTCGAGTCATCTTGCACTTCAACTTTTTTTACTTTTCGTAATTAAAAGTGAAGCTACTTTTTATTTCAATTTTCGAAACAATGCAACTTTTTAATACCGGGTGTCGTTTAGAAACTTCTTTATAAACTTTTCTTCAAAGAAGAAAACTATAAGCGCGGAAACTCGAAGGAGATCGGTACTTCAATACACGAACCGGAATGGACTGGAATGCTTTCACCATCCCGACAGACCGGAAAACTCCTATTTACACGGCCAGTATTATTCACAAGTTAGTATTTTTAGAAATTTTGCCCGCCCGTTTCAATAAAGGTTCATTCAACTTTGCCCTACACCACTATCGTATTAACGTAAGTATTTCAAGTAAAACAATGAAAAATCACACTCTATTCTCTCTTAGATTTCAAAAAGTAGTTGTCAGGACAAAAGATTCAATTTGAATGTGTCACGTGCCCACCAGTCCGTGTAGGGATAAAAATAGTTCATCCCATGCCACGGAGGGAATATTTACTATTTTTGGAACTGTGTTTACAATCACTGAACCAATTTTTTTATTCTTTTAAGATACGTGTTCTTAAAAGACCAATTTGGTACTTTAAAAGATCTTTTGGAACTGCGTTTATATTCATTAAACCTATTTTTTAATTTCTTATAAGGTAAGTGTGCTTAAAAGACCAATTTGGTACTTTAAAAGACCTTTTGAAACTACGTTTCTATTCATTGAACCTATTTTTTAATTTCTTATAAGGTAGGTGTGCTTAAAAGACCAATTTGGTACTTTAAAAGACCTTTTGAAACTGCGTTTCTATTAATTTAACCTATTTTTTAATTTCTTATAAAGTACGTGTGCTTGAAAGACCAATTTGATACTTTAAAAGACCTTTTGAAACTGCGTTTCTATTCATTGAACCTATTTTTTAATTTCTTATAAAGTACGTGTGTTTAAAAGACCAATTTGGTACTTTAAAAGCCCAGGATATAAAGTAATAAATTGTGATGAGCTTAAGAACGTTTAATAAAAATTAATCGTAATATACATAAAGATAAGTTAGCATTGGTGAATAGTATCAAATTAAGGTTAATTATTAAAAAAATATCTAAGAATCTATTGTTCTTATCACGCACATTACAATACGTACGTCTTATTTACATTTTATGGCAAAACACAATAATAATTTTTCCGCAGAGGTGCTCACCACCGCTTAGCTTTATAAACAGAGTTCATGCAAATATTTTAAACCGTAATGTTATTTTAACAAACAATATTATTACTAAAAATTAAATGTAATTTATATGGTTTTATGTGTCCGATATGCAAAGTAGGTACTGATAGCATAGAGTACGGCCATAACAAATCCCATTATCTGAAAAAAAAAAGGAATATTTTTATTTTTAATTTCAGTGCCAAATTTAAATAACATTAAAACTCAATCATTATCACTAATTACAGGTTTCATAATAGGGTATGAGTTCTTTTTGTTTTTAGTCAACCCGTGACCAAGGAGACCGAGACCACCTTTCCGAAACATCGGGAAAACAAAAAGAACAGCTACCGTGGTAAGAAACCTGTAGTTAGTATAATCTTTTAGTAACCACGAAAGCATTAAATTCTATAAAACTAATTCTCGTACAAAAAAATCCATTAAAACTCACCGAAGCAGCTAAATACTGGTTATAAGTAGAATACGAGTATCGGTGAATTTCAACAATCAGTAGAACACTGGCCACCAAGTAAAAGATGAATGCCACTGTGTGGAATATCACTTCCTGGAATGAAAAATACGTTTGTGTATTGTACATTCGACTGTGAACTGGCAACTTGTACTATCTCAATTTTGACAACTTTACACGGTGAAAACAAAAATTGTTTGCGTCATTTATATGGCATCTGGTTGTAATAAAAATATTTAAAAACTACATATTTTCATTTAATAAATGAGATGCTATATAAATGACGCAAACAATTTTTTTCTTCATCCTGTAAAGTTATCAAAATTGGGATGGTACCGATGGTGATGGTGCCAGTTCACAGTCGAGTATTCTTCTTCTTAATGATTATCACTAATTTCAGATTTCTTACCACGGTGTCACTTCTTTTTATTTTCCCGATATTTCGGAGCGGTCGCACGCTCCATGGTCATGGGTTGACTGGACGGCGGCAGATGACAGCTTTAAGAGCAGACATATCTGTCTACCCTCTTGCGCTGTCGAAGGTAGTCGTCGAGAACGTTGTGGCGTTACCATTGTCACTCTCTTACATACACACCGCACGCGAAACTGAACTCGAGGTGTTTTTGTTTTTATTACTGCACGCACTAAGGACCGGAATCCATGCACTGGACAGTTTAAAACCATCATGACGGTTAAATGTTTTGTACTTCGTGATCTCGATGGCTTCTCGTACCAACCGTGGTATGTAGTGATGTTCTGTCGAGAGTACCTGGGGGCTGTGCAACTCGATCCAGTGGTTAGTGTCAGTCTGTGTGAGATGATGTGCTATAGCCGACTTCTGTGCATCATTGTTTTTTACTGCTCGGATGTATTCCTTCATACGATCGACAATTGTTCGTTTAGTCTGACCAATATACGAGCTCCCACAACTGCAGTTCAGTTTATAGACACCCGGTGTTTGTAAAGGAAGTTGTGTTTATAGTTATGTGAAGTGTAGTTTTTGGTGAACGTAACATTTTTCCTATTTTGGTTAAGGGGATGAAAATAGTTTTTATGGAAAACTTCCTTAGCAACGTGGCTATTTTGTCTGTCACCCCTTGTACATAGGGTAGAAAAACTGGTAGTCTCTGTACGTCAAATTGCTTCTTCCTTTTTTGTAATGGTTTACATGTTTTTATTTCGTATCCATTCTGTCGCAAAACCGTCTTAATGTGCTCCTGGTCCTGTGGTAGGTGGTGTGCATCAGAAAGATCATAAGCTCTATTGGTTAATGACCTGACGATCGAATGTATGTGTTTTGGGTGATGATGTGAAGTGGCATGTAAATATTTGTCCGTGTGAGTTGGTTTTCTGTAGACAGATACGTCTGCTCTTAAAGCTGTCATCTGCCGCCGTCCAGTCAACCCGTGACCATGGAGCGTGCAACCGTTCCGAAATATCGGGAAAATAAAAAGAAGTCATATCGTGGTAAGAAACCTGAAATTAGTGATAATCTTTTAGTCAATAACCACGAAAGTCTTAAAATCTATATTCTTCTCCTTATTATTTATTGTAATAAAATTAGGCCCTAATGTTAAGTATATTGAATATCACGATGTCTTACTACCATGATACTCGGCTATTTCTTTTTAAGATTACTCCACTAGTTTGATATAATTATTAATACATAGATCGGACACTAAGAAAAATTCCTTCGATCCAGCTGGATTCGAACCAGCGCCTCCAGCATACCGTTCCTGACGCTACTGAGCTACGCAACAAACCAGCAGATGTAACTAATTTTTCTACGTACTCCTTACTTTGTCTTTGGTTTTTAATGCCTTTTTTAGCTTTAGGCTCTTCTAGATTAATTCATCGCCAATCATCTTAGCTCAGTGCCCTACACATTGAGTTCCTGATACCAAACAACAGTAACATTTTCCTTATAAATGATCCAAATAACTAGGACTTTTTTTCGTTCGAAATTGACATCTATAATATTTCTAAAAAAACTCTCGTTACTTATTAGATGCCCAAACATCTTATGACTTGTAAGTCAAGTTGGTATTAAAGATGATAAGGGTGGACTTCAAAGCTATTTTGAATTCATATTTAGAAGAAAAACACTAGTTCCTGTAAGTCTTCACTACTTTGAATTCCTTATTGAACGGTCTAATCGTCGGCACAGGAGATATGAGATCTTAAAATACCTAATGTTAAGGAACTCTCTTTTAATATTTATTTACTGAACTGAACTTTTCGTGTATTGCCGATTTATAGATAACTATAAATATACTCACAAAATTGGTCTTAGAGATGAACGTAGCCGAGGACAAAGAAAACAAGCAAGCAACAAACAGGCAGAATGTTCCCATTAGGCAGGACACAGCGGAGATGAGATAGAACAGAGTGGGTGCGGTGAAGCCGTGGTAGCCACTGTTTATGTAGTAGCCCATCAGACCGGTGCAGGCTGCTCCCAAGACCTTGTGGAAATCGAAGTAGGTGTAAAAATAATTAATTAAATTTTACTTGAATAACATAAATCAAATCAAATCAAAAATCATTTATTCTCATTAAAGAGACGACTCTATTCAAAAGAAAAACACTCCTATACTATGTAGGTTATTCGATTTTTTTTTAGGACTATAACTAAACTATTTAATACGGTCACTCACACACTGTAGGCTCACTAACTGCCGTACATTTTTATCACAACTGAGTAAGATTTTTTTTTGCTGCTTCCTTACTCTTTCCTCTTATCAATATATTCTTAGTAACATATCTGAGTGTACAAACTATCAATTTTTAAAAAGTTTTTAATACTTTGTCAATACCAAAAAAAAAAAACAATCGTACTCTTGGCGCAATAAAGCCTCATCCGCAAAATGACAACTTTTCAGAAAAAACATTCAAAGATTTTTCAAACGAAATTGATTAATAACTTTTCACCTGACTAGCTCGGAAAGGCTTTCTTTCTCATTACAAATATGTACAAAAAGCTTTTTTCCACGCTAGCGTGGAAAAGTTTTTTAAATTCGAACTTGACGATGAACTGTGATGCACCAACTTTTTCTTTCGATAAAAAATCATAATGTCACGTTCAACTACATGATTTGTCGTACATTATTTATGTAATATAAATCCGTTGGTATATTTTATTGTTATTATGTTGACATTAAATTGATAACAATAATAAGAATAAGAAAGAAAATTTATTAAAAACGAGTTGTTGAAATAGTTGGGTTGGGTAACTCCATACAAACGTAGCAGCGTGGCTTGTATATGTGCATGCCCGCCGCGCGCCGTGTGCGGACGCACACATTCGCATAATTTCGCAGTACACTCGCGCTGCATAGTGTAAAGTCAAAGAAAAATAATCTTTATTACATAGGTAAACAAATTACACTTGAAATCGTCATACTGATTAAACTCTACTACTCATTCGTATGGCAGATTCCCCTAAGAAGAATGAGAAAGAAACTCTAGCAGTTGCTCTTCCAGGTAAACATACATAGATAATTAATAACGTACACACTCAACATAGCCCCGCACTAGGGAAACCCTGAGTCGCGGGTGCTATGGACACAAACATAGACAATCGCAAATTACGCGATATATAAATACGCGAGTTTATTGTTATGTATATGGTTGTTTGACCAAGTGCCTCAAATTCGGAATTGTTGAGCATTTCATTTTTATGACATAATCGTGCTCCATAATCAAAATGCCAATCCGCGATACTGATATAAAATATTAGTACGTAATAAAGGTCAATGGTACGTAAATACCTATTGTATTATGTTTATGAATACAAAAATCGAACACACAGAAAACTTGAACCCACGTCCATGCTGCACCGTCGCATTGCTCTAACCAACTGAGCCACGGGTCCAGTCACCGAATCGTCGAAATTCTCCTATGTGTTTTTGTTATAGATCTTTGTACCGGCTTTCGGCATTCGGCGCCGCTAGTGACATCTAGCGTTTTAATACCTACTGTATTTTTGTCAAAGGCTGTTTCAAATGTGATGAACACCCAATTTTTTTCAAATTATGTTTACCTACAACTAAAATAATAATTTAACAACCCGACCCCTTCAAGCGAAGTTGGAGTTGCTCTACTTGGTCTTTTTACACTGTGGTTAAAGTTTCATGCTTTTTAGGTCTGTGTACTCAAAGCACTTGTTATTCGCCAAAAAAAATTATTAACTAAATATAGTTATAAAAATCAAACGCTATAAAATAAAACTTTCATAAATTGATTTGTTCTTATCTTGTAAACTTTATAGTTTGTTATTTACGCCCTTTCTTCTCCGACATTTTGAACGAATGCTAAATTTATTAATACAAAGATTTGATTAATATTATACACAGATTTGTATTAATAATTAATGATTGAATACATAGATTCGTATTAATTATTAATACAAAGATCGAACACTTGGAAAAAACTCCTTCGATCCCTGGATTCGAACCGACGTTTTCTTGCAAATAGTGCCAGCCCAGCGGACCTTACGAATTTTTCTATTTACTTGTTGTCGCATTTTGCTTTCAACTTTTTTTTACATGTATTGTTAATTTTTTTATGCACTTTACATGTTTGCAAATAAATAAATACTAAGATATACCACAAATAAATACAATCAAATAAAACAACGTATTTTAAAAAGTAATAAATGTAATATTATAATGAGTAAAATATAAATTAGACGGTGCAATGCTCTTGTAACTATAGTATAAACGTTTTATAAATATATATAATTATGTAAAAAGAAACAGAAACATCATTATGTTGTTCGATTTTTTTTTACTTTTGTTAAATTCAACAATGTTCGACACAATAGGATGTTTCAGTTTTAGTGGTATGTAGTGTAATATACGCACTAATTTATAAAACACTATTAAATGTGATTGCATTTTTAGAAACCACTTTTAGATACAAACTGCTTTAACAAAATTTTATTACAGCTTTGTTTGAAATATAAATAAATAACTTACTTCTTCTATATCAAGTCCCTTTCTTAAATTATGGCTTATTCACATTAGAAAGTCTTATTTAATCTACAATATACTATCTGTATCTGCAAATATTGAGAATGGTATCGTGAGGTTAAAATACTTATGTAAAATGTGAATCGAGTGAATTTTAACATTGGGGTCAGGTGGAGTATGAGGAACACCGGGGGAAGAGGGACTTGAAGCATTAACTTTTAGGGCGCGTTCCCATTGTATTGTGACGAAAGATAGTCGTGCAGTTTAAAGTATCGTGGCTTGTATATTTAAACGAAGTTGTTCACAACGTGACGTTGTCGTGACAATGGGAAAAGCTAGAACCACAATAGTCTGACGATAAATAAATCGTCTCGATAAAAATGTGACAACAGATAATCGCAGCATCAAACGATTCTGTCGTGCAAACCACAAGGCGGCTGCCGCGAACCGATAAACTGTTGTCACGATCTAGTGAGAACAGCAGACACGACAGTCGTTCAAAGATAAAATAAACGTCCACGATACAGTCACGACAGATAGTCAATCGTGATATGGAAACAGACTAGACGCGACAGTCGTCCACCGATAAATAAAACGTTACGACATAATGGGTACGTGCCGTTAGTCCAAAGTGTTTTGCACTATAGCCTCTCAGTCGATAAAACAGACAAACTAATTAGTTTAATCGATTTTAAAGAGATGTCGCTACGATGCTCCAAATCCAAGAGGCGGAAAATACAAATTTGGCAGTTGTAAAATATTGAGAACACAAGGTATATATACCTTATAAGAAATACGATGTCTCTTCCTCTTATTCTATATTTTAAGGCAAGAGAATCGTTAGGAATTTAGCGTAATGATCGTAAAAACACGTAAAGCTGATAATCAAAGGTAAGTGTGGTGTACATCAAAATTCTTACAAGACTTTACATGTTCTTTCTAGACCTCAAAACATTTGAATCAAAATAAAGAATGTTCCTCTTACCCCGCCTGACCCTATACATATTCATGAAGTTCGCAAAAGCTTTTTCTTCTTGCCATACAAAAAGAATCAGCTAATTTGACACTTTACAATTATTACATAACAGTAATTCATAGCTCATATAATAACTTTAAAAAAAAAACTTTATTTAGTTGTGAATGGGACACCGAGATTTTTATTGGTTAAAATACTCATGTGCATGGTCAATGATTCATCAACTATTATAATAAATTAGGTCATTTTGAGATAGGCCGTTATTCTTGAAAACTATCGTTATGTTTGTGGAAACACTAACAAAATTTGTATAGTTTCATTGTGCCCCATCAAACGTATTGCAGACTAATATGTATATATCTTTATTATATATATTATATATATATCTTTACTAACGTGCAATAAATAAAAGTAATCAGAAACTAAACTGGGTACATTACTATACTATTATATTAATATATAACATGGACAAGCATCGAGGGTTTTTATGACCCCAAATGAGCGAGCGAACAAGTCGTATCTGGTAGTAAACTACACGCTTACCCAACACAATGAAGGTACCGACACAAAGCGTATCTGAAAACAGGCGATCATGGGCCATCACGCGCACGGTCAGGCGACCCTCTTCCAGCGGCACGTTGGCACGAGGTCGCGCGGCGCGGCCCGTGGGTTAACGGGCCATGAGAGGCCGCGTTTATAGTGCCACTCAAGAGCTTTAAATCGTAAAGGTCTGAGGGCACTGCCACCACACTCGACACACTGAGATATAAAATTGACAAGTCCCATGTGTCTGTACTTTCGCCAGCACCCGTAACCCTTCAAAACCGTAACGCGGTAATGTTCATATTACTGCTTGGCGGCATAGACAGCTATAGTACAGTACTTTTGTCTTGAAAGTAAATATTTGCAGGAGTAAAGCTCCTTGTGAAAGAATTCGTCCGAAAGTACTGCTACCTTACCAGGTAAAATTATAGACACATGAGACTTATCTACTTATGTCTCAAGGTGACGGAGGCAGTGGCAGTGCCCCTCAGACCTTTATGTTTTAAAGCTCTGGGTGGCACTGCAACAGTTATGGATAGGCGTGTGTTTTATCATTAAGCGCACGACTTGTTAGTCCCGTCACTTTGTATCATAAAAAAAAGAATAAAGAATTTATCTATCTACCTTTCTGGATTTAGATCAATATTAAAGATAATAAAAGTTAAATGTATACAGATGTGAAAATAATAGAAGGAATAATAAAATACAATGCGATAATAATATTTATATACAGTCCGGTCCGACGTTATTTAAATGTTATTGTTATGACGCTTTCAAAAATGATTAAAATTACTGAGATGTATCTGGCGCACAAAGCCGTCGAATCATATACGGGCTTAATGTTGTCACGTGATTATTTAACCAATAGAAAGCTCATTGTTTTATTCGCAATAAAATTTAACATGTTTTGAATATCGCTTTGTAATAAGACTAATAAGCGGTGATCCAAAATGAGGGAGTTAATCTATATAAA